CCAACCTACCAACACCCAGTTTAGCATATGTGCCCATGCACAGTCCCGAAGCAGTCATACTAGGGGGTCGTGTGCGACCCCCAAACACACACACACACACACACACACACACACACACACACACACACACACCTCATCCAGATGGAAAGATCACAGACACAGTTTTCACAGTAAGACCCTCTGTTTATTTGATTAAACAAAAATAAAATAAGCTGCATAGGAACAATTTTAAAGTCCAAAGAGACACCGGCTTTGTTTTAAGGCTGCAGTAGCTGATACTGCCTTTGCTACTTCTCCAGCCTCCTCTGTGGAGCACAGAGATACATTCAGAAGCCTGTTAGCTCACAGGAGGTTTGGAACGCTTCTCCACTGGCTCTTCACCTGCTCATTGCCCATCATGCCTGCGGCTGGCAATAATAACATTTAAGGTTTTAAAGGTAAAAGTCCAAAATTGGGAAAAGGGACTTGCCCCAAAAAAAAGAGAAAAAGAAAAATGTCTTTTGCTTTGAGGTTTGGGAAATTCCCCTAACCACCCACTGCCTTGACGAGCTCTGAAACACCCCAGCTGTTCCAGAGGTGGCAGAGGCAGCTGGAACCCCAGGAGGGCTGGCAGTGAGGGACCTGCTGCCAGGGGAGGCATGCTGGCAGTGTGTTCCTGCAATCAGCTTGTGTGACAACAGAGACTTAAGTCACTCTAACATTAGGCAACATGCCTCTGTGAATTCCACCCAGATCTGTATTCACTTCTTTAAAAAAAACAAAACAAAACAAAGAGACCCAAATGAGTTATGTAGTCTCTAGTTACTTAAAAATTAAAGTTTTTCTTTTCTTTTCTTTTTTTTTGGCTGACCAGGCATGAGAGCTAATGGATAGTATTAAACAAGATCCATTAAAACAATAACCAAACAACCCTCCCACCCACAACTACTTGTAACATGCTAGTTAAACATCGCTAAACCACCCACCCTCACCAGCATCAACATTAAGGGAAAAGACATTTTACCACCCTAAAAACAAGAAAGCCCCATACATATGAACAGTCTCCCTCTAAAGGAGCCAACTACAGACGCTAGAAACACGAAGAACCATCGCAAAGCTGGTTACAAAGTAACCGTGGCGGTGCTGCCACGGGCGCCAACATTCAGCCAGTGTGCTCTGAGATAGCCTTAAGATACGACCTGAGCTCGTAAGTTAATACAATCATTAAAAGGAGGTCTAAGACCATGCGGATACACAAAAACATTTAGAACCATTGCTGGTTGAATGACGATGGAAAACAGCCCACCAGGCTGGATCTGTTAACCCGTAAGACCAGTTCTAAAAATAGACATTATTGAGGTATTTCTTCACGGTGACACTTATTCATAAACCCAAAACCCAGTTACTCTGGTGGCCTTCAGGATGCTCTCACCCGGGTAGACCAGAAGGTTACCGGGATGTACAGAGGTAGGTTAACAGTACAGCATTTCCTGATAATGTGCTTCTCAAATTTATCAAGTATTTAACAAACAAGGAAAAAAAGGGGGGAGGGGGCGCACAACAAACGTCAAAGTGTTGCCTTTGGTAGGAAGAACAAATCAAAACAAAGAGCAGTGTACACGTCACCAGTCACTGTAGAGGGGGCTGCACCGTGGCAACAGATATCCTGCTGGGTGCAGACAGCTGCAAATACAATCATGACGTCAGAGATTCTCAATGCCTTCAAACACCTGATGCTCCCCACCAGACCTTCAGGGCTCCCACTAAAAGGGCATGTGTTCAGACACTCCTACCAGATAACACAGCTTTCTCTTGAAGAGGAGACCTAAAGGCCTTTTTCTAGTCAAGTTCTCCATTAGGTCAGAAGCAGTTCCTAATACTGTATGCAGAATTGGGTTTGTGGCAGGCAGGGGAAGCAAGATTGATGGAGAACTACTTGAATGAAGGACCACACCGACCGAACACCTCTTGTTCAAGGTCAAATGTTCTGTATTGGAAGTCAATCCTGGATTCCTAAACGTTGTCCCTCGCCTGCCCATCTCCACCAGATTAATACTATTCCTTTTGAGACCCATCAGGTGCCCACGTGAGGTAGATGACTTTGCCAAAAGTGAGGTAGAAAATCTAATAAGCCAACCCGTGTGGAAAGAGGTGCTGTGTCCTGTGACCCTGGTCCACACGAAGACAGAGAAAGCCCTTGGGTGTCAGGAGGTCCAACCTTACCTAATGTGCACAGGTGACAATGTCACCTTCCTTACAGCCCCAGACCGTTAGAACCTCAGCAGGAGATACTCTAAACAAATAATTTTGGCACCAGTGTGTGTGTGTGTGTGTTTGTGTGTGTGTGTGTGTGTGTACACATACTTCTTAAACAACAGGGAAAGCCAGCCTAAGAACTTTGGCATACCTTTTACTACCTACCAGAACACAGCAACTCTGCAGTCTTCCAAACACGAAGACAACACACCAACGGTACTGTGCTGCTTCAAGCCTAAGACTCCCCAGCTCAAATAACTAAGCTTTGGCGTAACGACGATGATTCAGTGAAGCAGACTGAGCCATCCACCTCAGAGTGCCTTCATCTTGGCAACTTCTTTGGCCCAACACCAAGTCCAGTTCTGTTTAGGGTACCCTTTTATGTTTCCCCAGATAAGTTAGACTTAAAACGGGTATTGATTAAGGAATTTAGTGCACTTGGGGGACAGCCCAGACAAGACAACTGGGCTCCAAGCCAACTTTAGGAGTCACCTGCCAGCCACAGAGAACACAGGTGTGGAGGCGGACAGGGTGGCTTCAGGAACAAACTGAGAGATTAGTGATGACTTTTAGATTATACTTTTGGAATGTTAGGCAGGTGGCAACCAGGTGTTCAATATTCAAGTTTAGATATATTCACTTCCAATAGGGATATCCTGATGCCCACACCCTCCAGCTCCTGCCACCTGACCAGGGCAGATCTACATGTGTCTACATCCACTGCCTGCCTGTCTCTCACTGGTGACAAAGCTTCCTTTCACAGCACTCAGGACCTGATCTCTTCCTGCCGTTCCCATCCATCACCTCGGATTGGGCAGCAGGTGTGCACATGAATGCACATAGCAACGTCACACTAGGGTGCACCAAACATGGCTTACATCATGATATGGAACAGTCCACATTATCACACTTTCCAAAGTGCTTAGCACTGATTCCCCCACAGGCCAGGAGCAATCTCAGGCGGCTGCAAATGGCCACTTGTTTTAAAAACAAAAGTTCTCCAAGTGTGACCACATATGTTCCTTAGAAGCCAGCCATAAACCAATTCTGGACACAGAAAGGTAAAGAGCCACATACCTCTAAGGACACTTTGCTCTAAGCCTTCACTGGCCTATCCAACTTACTCTTTAAGACCTGACCATTTCAGCCACAAAGTGGAAACCTGGGCTGAGCAATCAAATCCTAAGTAAAATATCAAGTATTTTTATCTGTCATAATTCACCAGAAAAATTTCCCACTGAAAAGCCAACATTCTTGTCATAGGTAAGCTGTGAAGAGGAACAGAAAAAAAAAAAAAAAACAACAAAAACTAAAATAGCTTTTCCCTGGCCACAATTAAAATCAGGTTTCTGAGAACTGAAATCATTGTTAAGGATGTAAAGCCAGGTGTGTTGAGCGTTTAAGGGCAGTCTGTTGGAGGGGGGACCTGCCTCCCAGTTACTCTGTCCTATAAAAGTTAGTTTAACACTTAGGGGGCATAATAAGGCTAAGGAATGTGAACGGGGGGAGGATCCACTACTAAATTTCAAAAAAGGAGCTTGTACCGAGTACGATCTCTTTCGCAGTGGTCCTTCCACCACCCCCAGGATCCTGGAAAGGAGGACTTGGCAGCTGGAAGCTACCTTCGGGGGTCCTTGATTGTGTACCATTCTCCTTAACAAAGTGACTCCAGTACCTGCTTCCCCATCTGGGTCACTCAGAAATCCTGAAATTAAAGTCATGTGAATGAACATCATAGTTCACACTGGCAAGTTAAATGGCCCAAAGCAATGTGACTGACCCAACACAGGCTTTCCACCACCACCTTCTTCTTGGGATGACAGGGGGTAAATTGCTCCATTTATTAACTTTGTCTTTTAAAACCAAATCCATTTCTGGGCAGAAACTGATCTTTTGGTCTGTTTCAGGCAGGAGCTTCCTGTCCTCAGTCAGCGATGTGAGAGCCCCTTTCAAATCCAATCTGATTTCAGTAGTGAGGAGTAGACGCTCGACGGGGTCCCCATCCTCAGACAGACGACAACGTCGAGACCCAATGTGTAGTTTATCAGTCCTTTAGTGGCATGGGAGCCACATACCCCCACAATCCTATTCTTTGGTACAGGTTTAAAAAAGGATATATATTGTGTCCTGCACTTCGGGTCAGGGGGGATTTGGTCTACAAATACTTTACATTCAAAGGCCTTTGGGGGAGGGAGTGGGGTTCAGTTAACCTTGAGGTCTGACTCCACTCAGGGACAAGGATCCTGAGAAAGAGACCTGAGCCAAGGGGGTGGGGATGGGATACTCCTACTTGTCATTCAAACATACTTCTATATTCCCTGAACTTCCAAAGCAGGAAAAAAAAAATTGTGCTTTTTCAAATAAAAGTTTATCCCTTTGCCTACTATACACTCTTGCAGACGTTCACTCTTGGGACGGGATCCCACCTTCTGAACAGTCCCTGATGTGGGGTGCCTCACTTGTCCAACACCCCCCACTTCTGTGGCACCCTGGTAAACATCACATCCAAAAAGCCCCTCTCTGAGAACAAGGTTAACTTATTTGCTTATACCTAAGTCTTTAGAAACAACAAAAACGGAAACTTAACTTGAGAACACTTTCAACTGAGAGTCCTGAGCTAAATCTATTTCTTAGAGAGCAAACTGGGAAGAAAAGGTTCCCTGGGACGCCGTGTGTCAAGTCCAGCTTTTCCCCCAGGCGAAGATGGCTTTGAAAACACACACACACACACACACACACACACACACACACACACACACACACACACACACACACACACACACACACACACACACCCTTCCTAAGCAGAAACAAAGACCAGACACCTAAAATATGAATGGTCTGCTTTTCTTGGCTAGCAAGCCACAGGCATCCTAGGGATGAAGATGTTAGACACTGAGGTAACCCAAGAACAGAGGAAAGCTCTGTTGCAGCACTTAAAAAGAAAAAAATTTTTCCCCAAAAGATCAAACCCAACAACCTAACCCCCCCCACACAGTATTGAAGAACACAAATACACTAGAATTATGAATTTTAAATCCTATCTTTCCAACATCTTATACTTTTCTTTTTTACTTAGTAGTTATTTTTGGGTTTCCTTGGCTCAATCCACAAAATGCACCCCACCATAATGCTTCCAGTGCCCTCGAGGGCGCAGGAGCGCTGGCCCGTGCATTCCATACCCTCAAGAGAAAAGGGAACGTGAGCTCCGTGGAGGGGCAAAGAGGGCTGCTGGAGAAGGTATGAAAGACTTGAGGTAGATAGAAATTATCACTTCACAGGCCCAATCCCTGCACCAAGAGAATTACATTCATCTGTAAAGAAAAAAAAAAAAAAAAGCTGAGGTAGGACTTATGCAATGTTGTACTTTTGTTCTCTTTTAAAAAATAAAAAAGGGGAGAAAAAGAAAAAGAAATATCCCTGAGATGATTTCTTCTTTGAAATTCAGAAAACGAGAGACGCACACATGCACACCCTAAACACAGAAACCCAGAAGATTCTGGATGAGAATTCTGGATTAGAAGATGAGGATTCGATTGTTGCCAAAGTCCACCACGACGATCAATCCATCTGGGGTGACCGCAATACCTGAGGGGCGGTCCATCTGCCCAAAGCCGCTGCCTTGAGCACCAAACTTGCACAGGAAGCTGCCGTTGGCCTCAAACATCTGCACCCGGTGATTTCTGGAATCGGCCACAATGATTCGCCCTTCTTGGTCCACGGCTACACCCTGTGGTCGGAGAAACTGTCCATTGTTGCTGCCCTCTGAGCCCAAGAAGCGTGCTGACTGACAATCAGGGTGAATGACCAGAAGCCGGTGGTTGTTGAAATCGGTGACTACCAGGTGACCCTCGTGGTTAAAAGCCACACCCCGTGGAGAGTCAAAATGCTTCCAGAGAGACCCCTCGAAGCCATACTTATTCAGGAAGACCCCATCAGGCCCAAACAGCTGTATGCGGTGGTTTCGGGTGTCTGAAACCAGGATCTTGCCCTCAGAATTCACTGCTACATCCCAAGGGTAGTTAAACTGCCCATTCTTGGTTCCTTTCTCACCAAACTTGAGGAGGAACTGGCCCTCAAAGGTGAAGATCTGAATGCGATGATTGTCTTTGTCGGCCACTACGATCCTGCGGGAGGCATCGCAGGCCACCCCAGCTGGTCGGTCAAACTGCCCAGGCCGGGAACCTAGGGTACCAAATTTGTGGTGGAAGGAGCCGCAGGGCTTGAACACCTGGATGCGGTTATTGCTGCGGTCGGCCACAATGATGTAGCCCTCCTTATCCACACTCACGCCCCAGGGCCTGCAGAGCTTGCCTTCACTGTCCCCTTCGCTGCCGAAGCTCAGCCCGGGGAGCCCGATGCCTACGTAGCTGCGGCCCGATTTGACCACTACCTTGAAGGGGCTGTTCTCGATATGCTGGTTGCACAGGGTCACCGACACCAGGTGCTCACCCTCAAGCTGGGGCCTGTAGCTCACCACGTAAGTCCCATTCTGCTGATCACTCACTTCTGCACCAAACAGGTTGCCATCGGGGCCCAGGACCACAGCGGACATCAGGTCGCCTCCGGAGAGGCGAGGCTCACCATCATGATCATAGCCCATCACGGTGAAGGAGGCTACTTTGCCCTGAAGGGCTCGCTTAATGCCATCTCCTGTGGCCTTTGTGAGCGGGGCAAACGCTCCGCTGCTGACAAAGCCAAAGGACTTGAGGGCCAGGTACAAGGCCTGGTCAGGGGGTGTGAACATAACTCGGTCATCTTCCTGCGGCTGCAGGAGGCTCCGGATGGCCTTGAGCTCTTGCACTTGGGCCAGCATCCGGTCTCGGGCCAGCAGGATGTCCAGGGCCCGGCCCTCTTCCAGGACCTGCTGGACGGCACTGACGGTGCTATCTAGCTTGTTGAGGTTTTGACGAAGCTTCTCCACCTGCAGGTACAGAGATTTAGCCTTCACCTGCCGTATCTTCTCCACCTGGAGACAGGAGAAGAAACAGGACAGACTTAGAACCAAGCACAGACAGAGTGTGGGCACAAAAGGCTAAAAACTACTGGAAACAGATTTTATCTGACCAACGAAACAGAACTATGTCCTCCTTTCTCTTTCCTTTTGCACGCAATTCTCAACGGTTCCTAGTTCTAAGCAAGTTGCCCCTCCCCCACCACCGGAAGTAACTCATTCCACAGGTCTGCCTGGCCACCGAGACTTTCCAGTGCTCTCCGGGCTGAAAGCTATGAAAGGCCAATGCCAACTTTTCTGAGGTCTAGATTTAAAAATAAATAAATGCTGTTGTTTTAATGAGGTGTGTCTGTGCGTGTGAGGGCAGGTGCCCAGAGGCCAGAGGTCCCAGAGGCCAGAGGTGCTGCATTCCCTGGCGTCGGTGGTGGTGGATTCACTCTGTAAACCAGGATGGACCTGAACTCCTAGAAATCTGACTGCTTGGTGTTCCTCCAGTGCAGGTACTGAAAGGCATGTGCTGCTATCACACATGGCTTGACTGCTCTTAACTGTCAATCTGATAAAACTAGGGTCACTTGAGACGTGTCTCCATGGGATTGCCTAGGTCACTGTAGCCTAGCTTTATGGTGAGGGATCTTTCTGAATTGGATAAAGAGAAGGAAGACCCACGCTAAAAGCTAGCTGAGCACTACCACACACATGCATCTCTCTGCTCTGGAATGTGTGTGTCATGTGAGCGGACGCTTCAAGTCATGCTGCTTTTACTTCCCCACGATAACAGACTATATAACATAGAATAAACTCTTTTGTCGGGGTATTTTATTGCACCAACAGAAATGAAATGCAAATAAGAAAAAACAAGCAAATGAAAAAGATGGATGAGATGGAGGTGTTTATCAAACAGCAAGTTTATTTAGGAACAGGGATTCTGCCGGGCAGTGGTGGCGCACACCTTTAATCACAGCACTCAGGAGGCAGAGCCTGTGAGTTCAAGGCCAGCCTGGTCTACAGAGCAAGATCCAGGACAGGCACCAAAACTACACAGAGAAACCAACTGTGTCTTAAAAAACAAAAACAAACAAAAAGGAAAAGAACAGGGATTCCAGGCAAGTAGAAATTGTCTAATAGTACACAGGAGGAGATGGCATCTTCCAGTGCCGCTGAAAAACGAACCCCTGTAGGGCTGGGCATGGAGACACCCACCTTCAGTCCCAGCACTCGGGAGGCAGAAGAAGGTGCATCTGAGTCTCCAGTGAGTTCCAGGACAATAAGGGGGCGATAGAGAGACTCCCAACTCCAAAGAGAAGAACTACAGAGAGCTGGTAAGGAAGGCAAACCACCAAACGCGGCCCCCAGAAAGGGGAGGCCGGCTAAAGCAGCTCCGACGCTCTGACAGAACATTTCAGGGTGTGACAGCAAGGTGACAGCTGCAGAGATGTCGCACTGTTAGGACCACGTACTCTTGTGGTACACCAGTTCAGGCCACATGGCATCCCTATCGAGAGGCCTCCAACTACCTGTGACCCCAGCTCCAGAAGATTCCTCCTCCTCCTCCTCCTCTGGCCTCTGCGCACCTGCACGCATGTGCAAAGCCACACTCAACATCCATACATAAACCCAAGGTTAAACAAGTAAGGGCTGGAGGGCTGGCTCAGCAGTCAGGAGTGCAACGTGGAATGCTTTGCCAAGGACCAGAGTTCGGTTCCCAGCACCCAGCTCAGATTGCTCACCAGAAACTCCATCTCTAGGGGGATCCTGTGTCTCCACAGGCACCCACACTCACATACATACCTAACACAATTTTTAAAATGAAAAGTGTTAATTTTAAGGATTTTTTTTTTGGGGGGGGAGACTTAGATGTTATCCCTACCATAGTAATGGGGCAAACAAGACATCCAACAGAGGAGTCTCTTAGAAGTCAGTTTTGCAGCCCTGTGTTCAGGACAACCAAAGAATCGGGGTTGAATACCAGCCCACAGGTAGCTACAGGTGGCCTCAGCTGACCTTCCCTCTCCAGTGGGGGACACACAATCCAACAGCTAAGGTGCTGATGAAGGTGAGCCGATGGGAATCTTCCCAGCCCACCAGTGTGCTCAAAGCTCTTCCCTCCTTCAACAGGAAACATTCCTCCATTCCTCCCCAAGTGGAGGCTTTCCACCCGGGGCCAGACGTACAGCCAACCAAGACACCAAAAATAAGGACCGTTTCCTATCCGCCCCCTGGAAACAAGCAGAGTTTTGACCGTCTCCCTCTTGTCTGCCTCCTCACCAGGGTAAGCAACAGAAAACCTGAGCCCCATCCTGCCTACCGGGCACTTCTGAAAGATCTGAAATGAGGTGAATGTTCTGCACAGGCCGGCTTGGGGGAGCGGGCTAGGGGGAGACATGCACCCCACATTACCTTCCACAACAGCTCGCACTCACGCTCCTCCAGGGCTTTCTTATGGCGGGCTGTCACAGCCTTGACCTCCGACTGGACCACCTTCGCCTTCATCTCCACCTGTTCTGCCACCGTCTGGGCCTGCTCGATGCTCAGCTGGAAAAGCAAACAGAACCTTTAGGTGCTAGAAGGGACCTCACTCCTCACCCGGGACAGAAGCCCGCAGGGCTTATGCTTGGGTGATGTTGCTGGCACCTGCTGGGTCTCTGTCTCAGAAGTGGCACCTGACAGCAACCACTGTAGCTGGGTTTTGTGTTGAATACTGGGAATGAGCGTCGGATGGAACAGCTCTGGGCTCGCTACAGACTTCAGATCTCTTGGACTTCCTCCCTGAACCTGAAGGAAATCTTGCGTGTCAGGGAGGTCCCTCATGTGTGGGGGTGGGGGGTGGGGGTGGCAGGTTAGTGGTTTCTCCACATTTGTATCTCCCCTAACGCAACAGGAACCAAAACAATGTGCACTCTGGGAGGATCATCTGATCTAACCTAAAAAATCATAAATCACGTCCTGCAGTCAGGGGCCCTTCATCTTACATGACCAGCCCCAGTATATCAGCTGGCTAAATCGGACATATTGTTCATAAAAAATTAATCCAGGAGGCCTGGTGTGTTCGTTAATATTACATGAAGTGTCTCAAAAAAGCCGCAAGGATTGAGACACTAAGTAAGAAACTGAATCAGGGTTTTGACCTGACTGTCAGAGGAGCCATTTTAGAGCAGATGATCAACCAGGTGGGTAGAGAGAGCATAAGGTGTACAGCCAAACTGACGGGGAGGCGGCGGACGGACACCTGCTTGGGCAGAGGGGTCTCAGAGTAAGAGGTGGGAGGTGCTGCAACTGGTAGGTGTTCTTCAGCACCTCAGGCCGGTGAGGTGGATTATTAAGGTAACCCAGGTTCAAATCCCAGCTCCTATTAATTCTAAGCAGCCATTTACCAAAATCCTCTCCAACCCTGGTCGATGGCTAACATGAGAGAAACCCAAGACACAACATGCTGAGAACCAAGGCCCGCCAGAGTCTAACGCCGCTGTTACTCAGGGTTCAGCTCTGGGCTGATAAATGAGGTATGTAAGAAACTGCAGTGTGGACCACGTTCTTCGTTGTCAATGACACTCATTTACCTATTTCCTTACAGATGTGGTGTATGCACAGGCACGCACCACGGCGCCCACGTGGAGGTCTGAGGACAACCTGCCCAGGTCAGCCTCTCCCTCCGCCACGGTGGGTCCCGGTGATGGAACTCATGTCACTGGGCTTGGCAAAAAGCCCTTCCCCCCCGAGCCACCTCACCTGCCTCCAACTCACACGTCTTCTTATTTTGTGTCTACCAATTGTGGCAAGATCCCCAGAACAGAAACTACCACTAGTGACATTTTGTGCCCTCACCCCCGACTCCCTCCGGTCACTGCAACCTAGAATTCTCATCCTCTGAAACAAAGCTCTGCATGTAGTAGGCAGCACCCTGCAACCCCCTTTCCCATGGAAACTACTCAGTGCTGTCGCTACAGATCTACCCATGCTCTCTGCTTCATCTATGTGGACAATATCCAGCCTGCCTTATTTTGACAAACACGCTTGTCATGTATGATGACTGGGACTCCTACATGCTACCCCTGGCCTGGCTCCAGAGCATATCACCTAGCCCTAACCCATTTTCTGTTTAACCCACACCTTTTGTTCCTCTTGTTGCCTATGTGAATCCTGTCTCAAGAGTCTCCCAAGGATATAAAGGCCCCTACAAAACTTGGCTCAGGAAACCCGGAAAACCGTGGTATCTGATGATGAGGGATTTGCACTTGGCATTGTATTTTGGGGAGCTTCTTTCAGTTTGTTTTGAGCATATGGAAATCAACTGGCCAAACTGTAAATACAAAGAAAAATAAAAATGCCCTGGGTGAAGGGAAAGTGTTTCAGTCCTGAGAGACCGAATCCCCCTGCAGCCTTGAAAGGCTAGATTTAATTATGTATACAGTATTCTGCCCGCATGTATGCATGCAGGCCAGAAGAGGGCATCAGATCTCATTGTAGATGGTTGTGAGCCAGCATGTGGTTGCTGGGAATTGAGCTCAGGACCTCCAGAAGAGCGGCCAGTGCTCTTAACCTCTGAGCCATTTCTCCAGGTTCATTTTTTTGTTTGTTTGTTTTGTTTTGTTTTTCAAGACAGGGTTTCTCTGTGTAGTTTTGGTGCCTGTCCTGGATCTAGCTCTGTAGCCCAGGCTGGTCTTGAACTCACAGAGATCCGCCTGGCTCTGCCTCCTGAGTGCTGGGATTACAGGCGTGCGGCGCCACCGCCGCCGCCGCCACCACCCAGCCAGATTCATTCTTAAGGTTCCAGATTCTCCCTAGATTCATTCTTAAGGTGCCTCTGAGTCTTCTTTCCATGGGTCCGTGTGAACCCACACACTCATGCCTTGACACTTCATGACACACCTCCAATACTCACTGGCTTTTAAATGGCTGCCTGTCAGCCCCAAACTCTGTGAGGTGCTACGTCACAGCTGGCTGAGAGGATTGGGTGCTTACAGAGCGTCCAGAGTGCCAAGCAGTCTCTCTTTAACTAACTCTGTCGACCAGGCTGGCCTTGAACTCGGAGATCTACCTGCCTCTGCCTCCGCAGTGCTGGGATCAAAGGTGTGCGCCACCACTGCAAGCCTTGGTTTTTTTTTAAACAAAAGGTTTTATTTTTAAGATTCATTTCATGTAGGAGTGTTTTGCCTGCACGTATGTATATGAATCATGTGTGTGCCTAATGCTGGCAAGTCAAAAGAGGGCACTGGATCCCCAGACCTGGACTTTTAGATGCCTGTGAAACACCACATGGCTTCTAGGACTTGAACCCAGATCCTCCTCAAGAACAACAAGAACTCTTAACCACCAAGCCATCTGTCTAGCCATTCCATCTTTTAAAGGAATTTGTTCTTATTATTTTTAACTGTATATGTTTGTGCACATGCATATGTACAAGCATATTGAGTGCAAGTGCCTTCCGAATTATCCTGACTAACTGACCTCTATGGAATCTGTATTTCTAAAGAAGTTACCTTCCAAGGGGTCCCCTTTTCCAAGATGTGTGATTTGAAGCTGGGAGGCCCAAGCCATACACAGCGGTACAAACCTTCAATCCCTAAGCTAAGAAGGTGGAGGTGGAGGCAGGTGGATCTGAGTCCAAGGGCAGCCTGAGTTACATACAGATCCCCTTTTCAGATGGGTCACTAACACCTACAGAGCCAACAAGCTGATCCAGCTATAGTTTTTTCCATTTCTTTTTCAGGACAGGACAGTGTCTCTGTGTTGCCCTGACTGTCCTGGAACAAGAATGAGAAGAACAAGAAGGAACAGGAGGAGCAGAAGAATACAAGCAAGGAAGACAACCTACTCTCCAAATGAGGGTCTCCAAATGCGCAAATGAGGGGTCAACAAGTTAGCTTGGGTGCTTGCTGTAAGCTGACAACATGCTCTTGAACCCTGGGACCCAAGTGGTGACAGAAGACTCCCATAAAGTTCTCTGACCTTTACATGAACTTCCATGTTCAGGCATTCCCCGTATACAGTTATCTAATAAAATGTACCAAAACTATACAGATTTTAAACTCCTGCCACGAGCTTACTTTACGTTAACGGGATACCATCCATATACCAATCATCATCCTCTTTAAAGTGATTTTCAAACATGCAACAACTGTGTCTCGGGGAAAGGAGAAGAGGGCTTGTTTCAGCTTACAGCTGTCATCCACCAGAAAATACACCACAGGCTGGCCAGGTTGGCCAGGCTGACGGGCATTTTCTCAGTTAAGTTTACCTCTTCTTAAATGACTAGTTTGTGTTAAATTGACATGAAGCTAGTCAACACACTACGCAAATGTCACCTTAAGGGACAAACTGACTCTCCTGCCAAGCAAGGGCCAGTGGAATATGCGGGAGCAATGACCACTTCTTTCATATGGGGTGGACAAGCATGCCCTCTCTTGACGAATTGTATTCATTTGTGTGTCCTGCCAAGTCCCCAGAGACCTGTGTTTATGGATCACCGAGTTGTAGCGGAAGATCTGTATCTTTCACAGGTAGAAAGCTTTGATGGCACCCACACAATCGAAAAACATTCAAGTCAGGGTCACAGCATTCCTAAGGGTGATAAAAAGGATTTTGTGGAGAGGTGGAAGGGGTCCGTCCTGAACACACTCCAGCAGGCTCGGACTGGATCTGCAGGGCGCTGGAATGTGGCCAGAAAAATAACAGGGAGACAAGGGACTCGGTGGCGGCCTCTGCAGCTAGATCTCCGCTCCAAAGCACGTGCTCTGTGGCTTTATTTTAACTGTGTCTGAGTTTGTCTGCATGTATGTCTGTGCACCATGTGTTTGCAGTGGCCGGAGGCCAGAAGAGGGCCTGGAGCTGGAGTTACAGACAGTTCTAACTGGGGTGAGAGGAAGGAACTGGTCTTCTGAAAAAGCAGCCCTGTTCCAACTGTTAGATGGCGACAGAGCTAACCTCACGGCAGAAAAGATACGGGGCCATGACAGGTCAACTGTGCATACCAGCTAACTCCCGTGTGCCAGCCGCTTCATGTGGGGTAGGTTGGGATCAAACCTGTTTCCAAGGTACAGCCAGGAACTAGTGACACTGGCCAAGGAGAGCGAGAACTGGAAACAGGACACAGAACACTCTTCAAACATCTCACCACATTAAACATCAGCGACAATCATATATGACTCCAGTTCCAGGGTTCAGGGCCGCCTTCGGCTTCTATGGACACCAGACACCCACGACATATGTTAGTTTTGCAGGCAAAACAGCCATATGCATAATAATGATTTTTCAAAATTTTAAACTTTTAAAGACGGCTTTAAAAATATTTTTATTTATAATTCGTTTTTATTTTATGTGCACTGGTGTTCTGCCTACTACATGTATGTTTGTGTGAAGATGTGAAATCCCCTGGGACTGGAGTTACAGTTTGTAAAGATGCCTTGTGGGTGCTGGGAATTGAACCCAGGTCTGGGGAGAGCAACCAGTGCTCTTAACTGATTGCTGAGCCATCTCTCCAGCCCCCGTCTGGAGACAGAAAACTATGTTCAATGGGCAAAGGTGCAAGCCAACAAGCCTCACGACCTGTGTTCAATGCCTGGGACCCACATGGTTTAACGAGAGAACTGACCCTTACAACTTGCACACACACACACACACACACACACACACACACACACACACACACACACACACACACACATATTCAACCACATGTGACTAAAATATTACACTTCCAGGAAAGAGACCCCCCAAAAAAAAAAAAGAGGCAATGAAATGCTGTAAAAGCTTTGAATGCATCAATGCACTGGTAAGCCCCCTCCAAATGGTGGGTGTGGGGGTGTGGGTGTGGGGGTGTGTGTGTTGTCTTTACAGGGACATCTAATATTTAAGGACTTATTGTGCATCTCTCAAGGCGGCTGCCAGCTTGGTGTAACTCAGGGACTCTGCCTGGCAGTCAGTGGACAAAGATGTAATTTAATCAGATAAAAACCAGATGCTTGTGGAGAAAGATTTAAGCACCTCAACAATACCTGAAAGTGTCAGACAGGGGGCTGGAGAGATGGTTCAGAGGTTAAGAGCACTGACTGCTCTTCCAGAGGTCCTGAGTTCAATTCCCAGCACCCACATGGTGGCTCACAACCATCTGTAATGAGATGGCACCCTCTTCTGTATACATAATAAATAAATAAATCTTAAAAAAAAAAAAAAAAAAGAAAGTGTCAGACAGGAAGGCTGGTGGGAAATGAGGAATTGGGGTACCCTCAAGTCCCTCGGAGAAAAAGGCCAACCAGGCTTCGAATGCCATGTTTTACAACAGAATGGAAACCCAGCTGTGAGTCCAGGCCCTGGCAGCAACTCAATCACAGAAACATGATCCATGATTGTGGCAGAGACTCTAACAGTGACCAAGTGTTGATTATTACCAACAAGTGTTTGATTATTACCTCCAGGGTGGGGGTGGGGGAGGGACGCACCAGGAAGTGTAGAACAGACCAATCTCGGTAAAGGGGATGAAGTTGCTCAGAAAATCTTTTTTTCTAAATAAAGCTAGAGGGCTCAAAAGGTGTAATTCAATAGAAAAATTTAACGTTCCTAGCAAATGGGAGGCCCTGGCTACTCAGCACACCTTTAATCCCAGTACTCCGAAGCAGAGGCAGGAGCACCAGGAGTTTGAGGCCAGACTGGCATCTAGAAGCTTGTGTTAGCCAATCACAAACTTTGCTTGCTGAGACCCTAAATTTTAAAAGGGGGGAGGGTTGCTGTAAAGATGAAGATCAGTGGTGGTAAGTGGGTATCGAAGCCTCCGCCCAAGCACTACACCCGACTATAAAACTCAGCAACACTCAAACAGCAGTGTAAACTTCTTTCGTGAGGATGAACGCAATTTTTCTATATTTAGATTAAGACACTTAAAAAAAAGATATGAATTAATAAAGGGACCAATTCTATATACTATTTTAAGATGAATGCCTTCCCTTTCTCTCATATTAGGAACAGTAGGTTATCTCTGGGTAAATCTTTTTAAAAACTTATTTATGTGTATCTGGCGTGTGTGTGTGCTGCATGTGTATGCAGATGTCTGTGAAGGACAGTTACAAGAGCTGTCCGATGTGGTGTTGGAATCTGAAGTTCCTGATAAGCATTAGTATCCTTAACCATTGAGCTGTTTTATTTATGTGTAGCACATGCTTGTAGTGCCTACAGAGACCAGAAGATGGAGCTGGATCCCATGGAACTGCGTAGGTGGTGGGAACCAAGTCCTCTGGAAGCAGCAAGAACCCTCAAGCATTCAACACTTCAACATCTGGTTGGCGTCCTGTGAGTGGACTCTTCACTACTGCATCAGAGCCTGACCTGCAGGATACACACACTCAGTGTGCAAATATAAATAAACGTTTCTCACTGAAAAAACAAAAGACATGGCACACCGATACTCCTGGCCCTGAGGACGTACACAAGGAGAATGCTCCATGGCATCCTGGACTGCACACCAAGTAAGACTCTGTCTAAAAACAAAAATCTGTTGTACTATGGCTACTTTCCCCAGTGCCTTCATGATGTATGTAAGCTCATGTGGCTTTAAATTACATGCGCCCTGAGACAGGGACTCTGCCCTGCATCGTCATATTGCCTGCATCTCTCAGTATGACCTCTCCCTGGGCCCAACCCAATGCAGGCACCCACCTGCCACCCTGCTCCTCTACCATGCAACACTGGACACTGACCACCACCACACACTTGGCCCTGTGGTCTATGCTTGAGTTTTGTGCTTAGACAGCTGAGCAAGACACAAAATCTCCTCCATCTCTCTTGGTTTCTCTTCATCTAGAGCTCAATCATCTACAGATGTGAGATTTCTCCGTTATAACCGCTCCCTTTAGGCCCACAACAAATTTTTAAAGCTTAGACTTTTTAGTCAATTGTATGTGTATGACTGTTGTCCTTTATGTGTACCATGTGGGGTGTCGGATACCTGGGACTGGAGTTACAGATGGTTTAACCACTGAGTCCCTCTCTGCAGCCTCGCCATCCAATCTCGACAACTCATTTCTCTCCCCAGAGCGGCTGAGCCCACAAAGGGCAAAGAATATACAGCATTAATTCTATCGTGTCCATTGGCCTGCCTGGGTGTTCTCGGTCTCTATGGGAAGAAAATGGAGGGCCAGATACGGTAGCATCCACCTTTAATCCTAGCACTTGGGCAGAGGCAGGAGAATCTCCTTGAGTTCAAAGCCAGCCTGGTCTAGAAATCAAGTTCCAGAACAGGTCAGTCGACAGGAAGACCCTGTCTTGATTTAAAAACAAAACGCCACGGGCAGAAAGGGGATATTTAAGATTGTACAAAGACCTCAGAAGGCAGGTGATCATGTGGCATGCTCGGTAGAGGAACAAGGTGGCAGGTGGGTGTCTGCATTGGGCTGGACCCAGGAAGAGGTCATACTGTGTGTGCCCCCACCCGAATGCAGCTCTTAGTCCTGGGTCAGGGGCAGCAACCAGGAACACAGTATCAAGGGGACGGAGCAAAATAGTTCTTAGGGAATTCTAATTCTATCAGTACAAAAAAAGACAATTGGCACTTTACCTGTGAAGACACAGACATGGGGCCGCTCTGTGGAGATACAATAACTTAAGAAGCAATGAAGGAGCACTACACACCTTTTGTTGTTTTGTGTCTTGGGATGTGGCCTCATGTAGCCAAGGCTTGCCTGGAATTCTACAGTTTTAGGTTAAGAGACACCAGGCCCCGCAGCTGTACAGGCATTTTTTTAAAAAGATGGAGAGGGGGCTCATTGTGTAAGAGCACTGGCTACTCTTGCAGAGAACCCAGATGTGGTTCTCAGTGCCTGCGTGGCAACTTCCAACCATCTGTAACTCGCAGTTCCAGGGGGAATCTGACGCCCCCTTCTGGCTTCCAAGGGCTCTGCATACACAGAGACGAATACACATGTGTTCGTCTGGAGAGATGGCTCAGCGGTTAAGAGCACTGGCTGTTCTTTCAGGGGTCCTGAGTTCAATTCCCAGCAACCACATGGTGGCTCATAACCATCCTTAATGAGATCTGGTGCCCTCTTCTGGCCTGCAGGCGTACATGCAGACAGAACACTGTTTACATAATCAATAAATAAATCTTAAAAAAAAATCTTTTCAAAAACAAACTGATAAAAAAAAAAAAGTACCAATCCTGGTGGCAGGACCTGTCTGTCATTCCAGAAATATATTCTGTAACCCGTATTTGAACATCAGGCTTGAGGGGGAAAAAAAAACATAATTAATCAGAAAAGACTCCTCCAACGTCACACAAACCTGACGGTTACTTATTCAGGAAGACCTGCCAACTCAGTCAGGGGTGACAGTGCACATCTGTAACCCAACACTTGAAAGAATGAGGCAAAACAAAACCCTGCCAAACAGTCAACAGAGCGCTCTCAATTCTGGAGTATTCCCCCCCCCCAAAAAAAAATGGCTTCTAAAAAAAATTTAGCCAACTATTTCAAAAAGGTAAAGAACGAGTTTCCTATACAATTTCTGCTGGAAATTTTGCAACCATTTCCTGTCTTTCAAACTTATCTTGTAATTCATGGAAGACATGTCATAATTTCCTAAATGCTTGTCACGTAGAATAATAGGCAGAAAGAATCAACATCAATCAACTACGCATAATACACCACTGCTTAACAATGTAGGAGAACTAAGCCAATTCTCAAAATGTCACACATGTCCCTCCCCAACCATAAAAGGAATGATGGGAATTCAAGGACAAGTGTTTAATCACAAGGGCTAGGGACAGTTCAAAACTCATGTTCAGGTCTCAGCTTTCAGTAAGTAAATCTGTGTATCCAATACTTGTGCCTAAAGAGCGTCGGGCACACAGTCTCTGCAGTCCCAATGAGAACCAATGCTTGCTAAACTTGGAAAAGCTGAAACAAACCTCTACAAAGCTAACCCAAGCCAGTAACTCAGACCACGCGTCTGCCATCTTCTGGACGCTGCTAGAAGCCCTCCAGAGACCTCAGCAGCCTGGGTGTCACACCAGCCCCTCTGCTCTCTAGTCCATGACCTAAGCAGTGCAATCTGCCCTCCAGAAGGGACGAGGAAGGCTTGAGTAGATAACTCACCTGGATGGCTTGGCGGCCTTGCTGGGCATCAGCCAGCAGCTGGATGGTGAGTGCCCGTGAGTCCTGGAGGGCGTCCTGGAGGTAGGCAAAGCTGTGGCCCCCATGACGTCCCAGCGTGCACTCTCTGCAGATGGGAACAGAGCAGGTGTCGCAGTAAAGATGCAGGACCTGGGGACCAGAAACACAGGTGTGAACAGAGGGAGACAGCACAGCCCTAACTCTAGATCCAAACATTGTGTGCCCCCTCCCTTGTCAAGGCAGACAAGACTGCCATAGATGCAGACACCTGATGCCCATTGTCCATTCCCGATGCCCAATGCCCCCAAACCAGGGGGGACCCCACCCAGGTGCCATCAGCTGCAGTGTGATGTAGAATCACAACTGACCGCAAAGTCGGAGGAGACTGTACAGGGCAGCCCTGCTGGCATGGGGGTGGGTTCCCTGCGTCTCAAGAGAATGATCTAGAAATAGAAAGTTCTGGTCTGGGACTGGTGGTCTGAAAGAACGAATGAAGTTTCTGTAGCCACTCCTGTATGTGATGAAAGGTCAAGGGGCAGTACAGATCCCTCTCAGCCCTCAGACAGGGTGGTCAGCACTTGTCTGTCTCCTGGGCACTCCAGCAAGCTACAGGATGAAGCTTTCGGAATTAAGGCCAAAAGCTAACGGGAAGACTGGCCTGCCTCTTGGCTTTCTTCTCTCGGCCAAATTACTCCAAATGGTTGAACCTGGGGGGCAGCCAGCCAGCGAAGAGCTAGCTCCCCTATGAACCCGTGTGCTGGGGAAGAGAAGCACTGGACACCTCTCACCTGCTGGCAGGCAAGAGGCTCTCAGGAGAGAGGGCTCTGCATGGAAACCAGCCTCTCACTCTCCTCTCTCGGTAAATGTCTGCTGGATTGATTTCAAGAGCAGCTGGGGGAGGGGGCAGCTGACACGCGACACAAGGAATCAATGCGTAAGCTGCATTCTTTGCCACACGCAGCAACACACTTAAATCTGCACGTGAAGACAGGAGGTGGTGTGGTGCTCCAGACCACACAGCGGGGACACTCCAAGCCAAGCACCGGGCTGGCTACCCCACCCGTGACAAAACATCGCATCTTGTTCGGATCCTGGAAAGGCCAGGATCTAATTTTTTACCCAGAAGGCAGGGAAAGCTGAGAAACAGCTTTTAAGGCTAGAGGGAACCCCGCCCCTGGGGAAGAGAGGGGCTAGAACATAATTTAGGTGGAGGTCCCGGAGTGGAGCTGAGAAAGAGCCACCGTGAGAGGCTGCTGTCTCCTGTGCCATGTGTCACCCCCACAGGGGCTTGGTAGGGTGAAATGTGCCTGCACCCCAGGATAGAAGAAAGATTTGAATATTCTTCTTAATCTCAGAGGAATGGAGAGATCTTTTGTGGAATCTGTACAAGAAAATATGGTTGTGGCCTGTTAATCAAAACAGTTAAAAAGTAATCAAACTAGGCGGCAATGGTCCCCCTCGTCTGCTAAATCTAAAACTTCCCAGGAGAACTTTAAACGACCAACCAAAGGAAGGTGGGCTGAATAACGCAGAGCATTCCCTCACAAGTTTCCGTGTGGTGCAAAAAGAAGCATTTCTACTGGGTTTGGCAACCCTGCTACACTCCTTCCCCCAGCTCCCTCCTCCATCTGCCACCAGAGGGAATAAAGGGATCACTCCCTCCTAAAGTGAGGTGTGAAAACCTCCCACCAGAGGTCCCTTTTAAATTAAAATAAATGGTCGTCTTCCCTCTTCTCCCTTCTCCGCTAAGCAACTCTGGGGCGGCTATGTGGTGGACTGACCAAAGGACCCTTGCTTTCACCAGATGTGAGTGAAAGCAAATGGCCAGTCTACAGGGCTCTGCCCGACCAGGCTCCTGAGGCTGGACCACCTGCCCAGCGGCTTCCTCTGACGGGCCGAGCTTCCGTCTAATCTGGGAAACAAATGGGGTCTGACTAGGTCCCTCGGGAGAGAGACCCTTTCCAACCTTCAAAATCCCAGGAACCAGCCTGTCTGGGGCTGGACAACAGGAAGCAAAGGGTTTTCAAGTAATTCTGGACTGAGATAAGAAACTGGGTTCCCGCTGCAATTGTCCAAGTGTTAGGAAACTCCCAGGCCTTTGGGCTTGTCAACCCTACAGCGGAGCTTACAAGAGGCCAGGCACGGGAGATCCCCTGAGGCCTTACAGTAAGGGAAGAGAAATCCTGGTCAGAACAGGCAGTGGTGTCAGGAGAATAGATGTGAAGAGCCCAAAGGCTTCCCTTCCAATGAGTCCAGGAGTCCCACATGAAACACGGCCCGGAATCCTGTCACAAGTGGATGGGAGCAAGTCCAAGGAAGCGGCATGCAGACAAACCAGTGAGGAGAGGCAGCAGCGGCACCCAAATGTCGGCTAAGAGAACCTACACATCCAGAACAGCCCCAGCACGCTTAGAACTAATAAAACTACAATTTTAAAGACGATGCATTGTTGTGAAACCATAAAACAAAATCAGTATTTAAGTCTTCAAGTTATGAGTTGGGGTTAAAACTTGATAGCATTCCAGGCTTGCTCACCATTTCTAAGACAGGGGAAGCCGAATTTTACAACTACAGACACACAATCAATAAGCAAGGAAGAACACCGGGAACCTCTCTCTCTTTGCAACAGTTGGACGATTAAAGGAGCAGACCTGGGGCTGGGGAGATGACGTGGTGGGTCAAAGTGCCTGCTGCCCGACAAGCTGAGTCTGTTCCCAGGACCCACGCATGGTGGAGAGATCAGACCCTACCAAGTTAATCCTGCTCTACATACAGTCTGCCTCTAAAATAAATAATGTAATTTAAAAATCTATGGGGGGATATCCTTGGAGCCAATGTTTAAGAAAAAAAGCAAGGACTAGACTAGGCTGGGTAAGAGCCCATGGCCCCAAAAGTGGCAGCCACTACTAGGGAGCAGGAAGGGAAGGGGTGGAGTCCGCTGGTGGCAGGAATTCCAGGGCCTACGTGCCGCCTGTTTGGGGCTCCCCTGGCAGATGCATGGACACGCCCCCTCAGGCCTGGCGACAATCTGGCTGCTCTAGCTAAATGGAGCTGGCCTGACCTCTGACCCTCCAAGTGACCACCCCCTTCCCTGCCCCCAGCTTCTAGAACGTCCCACCCCTCCCAGCCTTCCTCTCCCAAAATTTCTAAAATACCAAGCAGAGACAAAGACCTAGGAATGCAGGCCCAGCAGGAAAGGAACAGGGGGATGGGGGAGGCCAAAGAAAAAATAAATAAATAACAACACAAGGTAGGGAGGCTGGCCAGGGCACGCACTGAAAGAAAACGCTCTTTTGAACAGGATACTGTGTGCGTAGCTCTTTTTTTTGTTTGTTTGTTTGCGGCCCTCCATCCAGCACCAGCTGGGACACACACATCCGGGGACACGTTGGGAAAACCTGGGCAATGGTTCTAACCACAGTGACCCATATCAGTGAGAAAGGGGAAGGGCAGTCGCGATCACCACGTGGTTTCCAAGTGTGTCAAAATGCCTTAGCTAAAGTACAATACCAACCACTGTTTATCGTTTTATTTACTTAAAAATTAAGTACAGTATTCCTTAAAATGACCTCACAGAGAAAAGCCAGAAGCCCAATCCTTGGCCGCACATGGACAACAGGGACTCACTTTAAAAATGCTCAGCCGAGCTCGGGAGCCATGAAAAACATCTGAGGACCATCAAAACCACGCTTTACGGCCGGGTGGGCTGGGGAGGTGGCTCAGGGTAAAGGTGAAGGAGTTAGAGCTCAGGGACCCACCGACCCTGGCAACTTGTCTTCTGAGGGATGCACACACACGACAAACACGTGTTTACAAAAAGAAGAGCTGGAGGGGAAGTCAGAACTCTCAAAGCCAAAGAGCAGGCAAGCCGGCTGGGGCAGGAGGCCTGGGGACTCGGGGGAAGCCCTGAAACCCACGAACACGTCTTTGACACAAAGAGAAGAGCAATTCACCAACTTCTTTAAACGTAGGTACCATGGTGGGGTGTGGTGGCACATGCTTTTAGTCCCCACACTTGAGAGAGAGGCAGGAGAATCTCACATAGCATGTGCCAGGGCAGCCAGGGCTAGAGACCCTGTCTCCAAAATAACTTAAAAAAAAAAAAAGTCAAAGTAAGTAAATGTAGCATTTACTCAACACCAATGGTTTGGGTTTTTTCTTATTTTTATTTTATGTGTATGGGTGTTTTGCATGCAATGCCCTCAGAGGCCAGAAGAGGGGGTCAGACTACCTGGAAGAACAGCCACGGCCCTTAATGGCTGGGCCATCTCTCCAGCCAGCCAGGTTTGTTTGTTTAGTTTACTTATTGAGAGTTTTCATGTAGCCCAGACAGATACCCACCTCCCCTGTGCTGGGGTTGCCAAAGTCCTCCACTGCCCTCAACAAGCCTTCTGCCCCCAACTCTCCCCTATTCAGAACTCACTGTGCCCGCGGCTGTCCAGAGACTCGGTACCGGGCTAGAAAAGGATGGTTTAGTGCCACAGTTGGAAGCCAGCACCGGCAGGCAGCGCAGTGAGGTTAGTCTTTCTTCTTTGTTTGTGTTTATTGAGACAGGGTTTCTCTGTGGAGCCCTGCGCTGTCCTGGAACTCACTCTGTAGACCAGGCTGGCCTTGAACCTCCCAAGAGCTGGGATTAAAGGCATAAACCACCACCGCCTGGCTAGGACCAACTTTTCACACAAACAAACCACCCCTCCAGGCTCTGCTTGATTTCTAACGACAACTCCAAGTATCCTGCACTCTAAGCACATTAGAATGTTTTGACATATTGCTAGGAATGGAACCCGGGGCCTTACACACTGGGCCAGCTCCCTCCTGCTGTCAGACTCCCCCAACTCGGATCAGAAGTATTCAGTATGGTTTGGTGGTTGAAGCACAGTCTCAACTGTAGCCCAGGCTAGCCTGCAACCTGCCACCATCATCATCATCATCCTATTTCTGTCTGCAAAGTGCTGGAATTTAGTGGCAAATACCAGTGCCTGGGTCTTCACTTACTAATCCTTCTAGAATGCTCTGGAACACTCCTTCATTGCTGAATAGTTGCAGAGTGTCATATGAATAAATTATAGCTAATGTAATCAGTATCTGATAATAAGAATTTTAAACTGGAAGTTTTTAAAAACCACCACCAAGATGGAGAGATGGACAAG